GCTAAACATTCTTTCTCATGAGTATTCAATTTCTGCTCTCCATCAGTTAACTTCTTACTCGCAAAATAGATTGGCCTTTCCTTGCCATCAATATTTTGAATTAAAATACCTCCAACACCAATGTCGCTCGCATCAGTTCGGATTCTAATCTGAATAGGATGATTATAATCAATGCCGTGAAGTAAAACATCCTCACACATAGCTTTCTTCAACTTCACAAATGCTTTCTCTTGCTCATGACCCCACCTGAAGGGTGTGTCCTTACGTAATAAGTTATGTAACGGGGCTGATATTGTAGAAAAATTCTCTATGAAAGCTGCATACCATGCACACATACCATGAAATCGTAAAAGTTGTTTTACAGTTCGTGGTTGCTTGAAATCAGCAATTGCCCTAATTTTCTCCGGTTGTTTCTTTAAACCGTTCTGCGTGACAATGTGTCCTAAAAATACTAATTCACGCCTAGCAAAATGAGATTTTTCAAGATTGATAGAAATATTTGCCTGTCTCAATCTTTCAAAAATTAAATTTAAATGATTCATATGCTCCTCAAAAGTACGTGAAAATATAATTATGTCATCTAAATATACATAGCAAAATTTCATTATGTACCCTTCAAGTACCCTATTCATTAAAGAAACGTTGGTCATTGGACAATTTTTCAAACCAAAAGGCATAACTAACCATTCATACAATTTACCATTAGCATAAAAAGCTGTCTTTGAAATGGAATCTGGATGCATACCCATCTGCCAAAAACCTGATTTCGCATCAATCACACTAAAATATCCACCAGTGGGAAGTAATCTCAAAATGTTCTCAGCCTTTGGAATGGGTTGAGCATTTTTCACAGTAATAGAATTAATTTTTTTATAATTTACTGCCATTCTCCATGAACCATTAGACTTTTTAGCCAATACTACATTAGCTCCATAAGGTGAACGTGATGGTCTAATTAGTTTATGCTTGAGTAATTCATCTACCTGCTTATCAATCTCTTGTAATAACTTGGATGGCTCATGCACCTGTTCCCCAAAAAGTGGAAAGTAACAAAACCATGCCGGCACATTTTCATGGCAGTTGTTGGCTCAAGTTGTTGGTCGTCCACTTATGTAAATGTATTTCTAGCAGTAAAACAATATTTTCTATGGATTGTCATGTCGCATCGTGGTTGTGTCACATCACTCGAGCAAGTACCAGATGACACTCCTCTGTGTTATTTAAGACTTGTTCGTGCAATAAAATATTTCATTCATGTTATTACATTAGTGGAGACGAGTGATTTGTAAATGTGTTGGAGGAGGAGGATGCTATCTCCATTTCGTTGCTGCATGCATGACCAAAGGGACTAAATAACTATATGTAGGAACATCATCGTACCTTTGTTACCTTATTCTCGTATGCACGGTAAGCTCATACGTAAATAACCCTTGTTTTTGTACACCTCAGGGATATGTATGTAGAGTGTACGTGCATCCTGCCAAAGCAAAATTAAAAAATTAAAATGTCCGCAACATCCAACCCAATTTATGTCTCTCGTGAAAGTAAAAATAATTCTCCCCAGTTTGTCGTTAATAATGACGTGGTGTTTCTGCAAACACGGGTGAATCTGGTGCTTCAATTTTATGCACTGCATAATCTGTATGACCTATTTTTCCATCTTTCCTAGCTACTGTTGGGTATTTTTCAATTAAATCTTCAATCTGTTTTTCCTGTGAATCTGACTGAAACTGACTATTTCTCTCAGTTAGCGACATAAGTAAATGATTTCCGCCTTTGTTGAGAGGATACTGTAAATGAGGTGAATCTTTAAAATAAAACCTGTTTTCCTGATAATCCACTACAATACCAAAGTGCTTAATAATATCTAGACCAATGATGAATTCAAAAATGACATTGTTTGCTACTTGAAATGTCCAATCTATCTCTTTATGACCAATTTTAAATATTGTACTTAAGGTACCTATCGTGTTTAACTCTGAACCATTGCCACACTTGAGCGAAGTTGTAGCATATGATGTGAGTTCATGATTAATTTTTCTAGCCATTGAAATATGCATAATTGATGTTGAACAGCCTGGGTCTAATGTGCCTTGAAAAACCGAATTAAATTGACCCACTGTATAACATTGAATTGATGGAATTGGCTCCATTAATAAAGTCGGGACCTGCCTCGATTGGAGTTTCTCGAGGTTCTCCCCTGATAGTTTAAATTCTGATTATTCTGCTGTTGAGAATTACTAGCTAAAAATGGATTCTGATTACTATTCGATTGTTCAAAAAGATTCTGCCCATTTTGTGTGGGACCTACATGCGTTAAGGCTACACCCTGACTAGTGCAAAATTTCTCAATGTGCCCAAACGCTTGACACTTTCTACATTTTATACTGGAAAAGTCACGATTTCCTCGACCTCGTTCAAAATTATGATTCGCATTCGAGTATGTACCTCGTGAAGCATTGTTGAATGCATTATGACTACTATTCTGATGTTGTGAACCATTATTATTAGTAGGTGGTTGCCGGCGATCATTCGAATATGAGCGAAAACTTGAGCCATAACTATTTCTGTACTGGCCTCTTCCTCTCGAACTCTGACCTCGACTATTTTGTGGATTGAAATTGGACTGATTCTTACCATCATCTCTAAGACCTTTGAGAGGAGGAATATTTGCTGGCTGATTATCCAAAAATGTATATAAATCTTGCAGACATTCATTTCCAATCGCTATCCCAATCTCAGGAACTAAAGCAATGTCTGTTCCATATCTTCGTTCCTATCTATCTGATGTGACAATGCAACCATTTCATATATAAACTGTTCGCAAGGGTCGTTCATTCCTTGCTTCCTAGTATGCAGATATTTAATTCGTTGCCTATCTGCAACCTTACTATCAAACCTTGCTTTGAATAAATCACAAAAATCATCCCATGACTTGATGCGTTGACTATGTGCATCGTACCACAACTTAAATTCTCCTTTGAGAGCAGTGGCCACAAAAATATGATACTGGCTTCTCTCATAACCTTGAGCTTTGAAATAAGTTTTCAATTTCCCTAAATATGTACTGGAGGTCATTCTCCGACTATCAAATTTGGGTACCTCAATGCACGTATTTACATTTGTGACTCGAATTGTACCTTGGGAAGCGGTGATGCATTGCTGTACATACTGCTCAATCTCTTTCCTATCTGCATCCGAGAATTTTTCTAGTACCTTCTTGCTACCTGTAGCATGACTACTAGCATCTGGATCTGACATAATGGATGAATTCGAAGAAATATTTAAATTTACTGAATGTTTGCCTCGACCTCTCTTTGACTTTGGCCTGATAATATTCTGTAATCTTTTCTCTTCGCGATCCCTATACCTTTGATCACGTTCTAATCTTTGGTTCTCTTTCAACGAACTATTCAAACTCATGAAGATAAGAAAAATTTTTCAGACATGTAAATACTTAAAACTTATCTAATAGGACTGACCAATGTAAAAGAAATATTTGTCAAAAGTTAAAATGAATAGAAGTCAAATGAATAAAACTGGTCGGCTCCTTATCTCGTTTGTCTGGATAGAATGTGGCAGCTAATTTACATGTGAATGCTTTGACGAACGAAACTTTTATGGGCGTATCACCAAATCAATCGCTTTGAAATTATGAGGATTTACTTTGTGAAAATTTCATGAAAATTCTACGTGAATTTGAAACTTGTAAAACTTATTATACTATGTTGCAAATGTGAAATCTTGAAAATAAAATTTGAATAGAATATGTACTCAGGAGTGCGTCACATATGTAACACTCCAGTGGAAAAAATAATTATCAAAATCATAAAATATTACTTTAAAACTTGTAAAACAGGAGTGCGTCGCCACCCAGCAACACTCCAAAACGGAAATTGATTGCAAAAATTCGACAACTACTCTTGAAATCGTACTACTTTCTTAAATTTCTTCCTCACGATGAACAGAGCGCACAAAAATTGAAAAATTTACCGTACCTGTTCATAACTCGTAGAATTGCTGGTTGATTTTGCGTTGATTTTGTGTTCGGACAAGTCCTCTCGACTTCAGTGACCGATGGGGGAGCCGGGGAATAAATTTCCAAGGGCACGGGAAATGCAGACTTCGCTATTGGACTCGACACCGTGTCCAAATTCGCCTTAAATTGTTCGGGAATTGTTGAGAAATTCTTAATCTGAGAAAATAATCAACTTTAATACTAAATTCAGCACATACATATGTTTCGAGGGGATTTGATTGAGAACTGGGGCGAATAGAGATTTTTCAATTTAACTCGACTTTCTCAAATTTGAACTCTACTTTTATTGAAAATGAATAGAAAAGGAAAAGGGACAAACTCATAACTCCGCAAAACTGAGCAAGGTCGCCAAATTGTGAGGGTCGTGGGTCATGGGGGATGCAATGCCCTATGAGACCACCCCTAACGTCTCTCTCTATCTGACTACTCACGGATACCAGGGTCGATGTCGGCGGAGAGTCTGGTCGATCCGATCTCCGATCCAAGGATGCCGAAGGGATGCTCGGGTGCTGAGTGGGTGTGCCAAGGATGAGGAGACAGGATGAGATGCTGCTGCCTCTGGGGATGATGATGATGATGCCAATGATGGTGGACAACTCAGGACGAAGGTGGACTACGATCCGTACTACTCGGAGGTTTATTCCAGACTGACGCATTCTCATACATCTCATACATACATAGCCTAGCATACACCATACATATATAGCCTAGGGCTCAACCACCTCATACATGGGGACGGGATCCTTACACAGTGTTACATATTTAGTAACGTATACTTACAGTCCTAGCTGACGACTATTACATGAATGTAACATTTACTTGTATGTATTATGTGTGTATGTATTACTTGTATGTAACATTTAAAAAAATATAAAACAAGAAATTTAAAACAAACGCTGCTTCAACGTGTAATTATTTATGTAAATTTCTCTGCGAATCGGAATGCATATCACAAGGTGTATATACATTACTCTACAAATATCAGCTTTGAAATTATAGAGGAATAAAAAATAAATTTCAAGAATTCTGGTAACTTTCAAGAAACTTACCTTGCCCGATCCATGGTACCGATTGGTGTCACATTTCCCGTTATAGACTCAATTTCATCTTGAAGTTTTTTTTGAATCTCCGGCATCTTCGAAACGTACAGAATCAACCATGTCAAAGTTGTCGAAGTTGTGTCGGTCCCACCAAAGTATATGTCTGCCAGGGTTGCAAGAAGGTTATCCTCTAGACAATTTTTGGGTAAATTAATTAACTTAATTTCGTTGAAAATTGGTACAGGACGGTATATTTTTCAGAAGTTATATAAATACCTCCAACTTTGCCATAAAATGGCGACTGTTTGTCTGTCGTATTTCGCATCTGGGTGATAAAGGCGTCCGTGAAATCTCTAAATTTCAATATTTAGACAATTTAATTTAAACGGTAACACACTGGTACGGCTCATTGAATTTCGCGTTTAGAATCCATTTGTACAGATTACAAAAACAACTTTACTCCTATATATCCTTATTTAATGTATTTTTATAAAATTTTTAGCTGGTTTGTCAATACCTGTCGAAATCTGGTGAGTAAGAGTTTAAATGATCATCGATTGGAATTTTGAAGCAAGCCGTGAATCGGCCGAGAACCTCGCGAATAATTGTATACCCGGAAAGGACGGGGAACAGCTTGGCAAGAATTGGAAGAAAAAACAGGACTCGGAAATTCGTATGTAATTCTGTAAATGTTCTGAAATTGAAATTATTTATGTGATCAATTAAGAAGTATAAAAATTAATCATTATGAAAGCTCCGCCATAATAATATGATTAGATAAATGGGCAACTGACTGACTAGTCTAATTTTTTACACATTGCTTTTTCAAAATTTTTCTTACTGCTACATAAATATCACCTAAAACTTTTCGTCTACTCCGACATCTAAATGATTTTTTAGATTTTTTACCACTCACTTCTGCACATATTGCATAATTTCGATAATACCCAACCCAACTTCTCGTCGACGACTCCCCGACGTGAATCCAGACACAATGCAGGCTGTCATAAGAAGTAGTCTTCCTTTCACGTTGGTGACCGGTGCGCCCCCATTGGAGACGAGGGAATCGATAAAGTGCATAACTTCTTGCATTATCATGTCCTCCGTCTTGTCCCTGGCTAATCCCTCTTGTCGGATTTGACGGGCCGTGAAATGGCGCAACTCTTCCCAGTCTGGACCTTCGTTAAAGGCAATGCCTGGAAAATAAAGGGTGGCACTTATTGTAATGGAGCCCCAGTATCTTAATTTTTAAAATAGCTAGGAAAACGAAAAAAGAGCAATGTGCTTTTAAATAGGCAAATGGACCAACGTGCTGTTAACAAAGAAATTATGTAGTTTGTGCCAGGCCAGAAAATCTTACTGCATTAGATTGCATTAGCTGTTGGCTACTCAAAAACATTTTACACTACATACGCTGGAGTTACGAGTAATGCTCATAATTCCAATGCTCATAATTCCAAATTCCAATTTTTCCCAGAAATTAATTTTAAATAACCCCAAAGGTAAAATACATTTGCTTACAATGCGAAGGTGTCAGCGGCTACGATTTTAATGCAACCACGTAAATTTTGTCGTCCAAGTCAACACAACCAACGTTTAGTTTTGCACTTTGTTGAATGCGTTGACTTAAATAAGTTGTGAGCGATCAAAGTTTAAAAAAAATGCACGATTTTCAGTGTGCGAGAGGTCAGAAATATTGGAAAGTGGGCGAAGGAGGAAATGCGTAAAAGCGGGTGGAGAGGGAATAAAAAATATTTCTGACCTCCCGCACGCTGAAAATCGTGCATTTTTTCAAACTTTGATCGCTCATAACTTATTTAAATCGTCACATTCAATCAAGTGCAAAACTAAACGTTGGTTGTGTTGACTTACACTACCAAATTTACGTGGTTGCATTAAAATCTGAGCGTAGCCGCTGACACCTTCGCATTGTTAGTATTATACCCGAACTACCGATATTTTCATTCCTAGATAATTTGTATTTCAGATTGCACTTTACCGTGTGATCTGTCGCCACCAGGGACGATATCAAGAAGACGACTAAAATGCATCCGCCCTGTTGCCGCAGGAAGGGAGTAAATTTCCTTCAGCATTTTGAAATCGGATATTATCACGGATCTAGTGGGAAAAAGCAAATTTGTTCAAATCTAAAATCTTTTTGACTTACTAATTAATATGCTGAGAAAAAATTATCTCTGGTACAACTTGTTTAAATTAAACTTGTTTAAATTAAATATTAGTTATTAAACAGTTTAATAACTAATATTATGAAAATCTAACCTAATCCCGTGTTTTATATCAAATTCGGAGACAATAACTTAGTAACGAGGTTAAAATCTAATAATCTTAAAACTAGCATTGTTAAATGTGAAAATGAAAATAACAGTGTTCATGAAAATATTTCAAGTTCTATGTACATAAGCTGAAACATATGCTGAAATTCAAGAATAGGTAAAAATTTTGAAATTAAGTAGATTCCAAAAATGTTCAATTTTAACGACATTTTCTTTGCCCACACTTAGATAATTAAATGCATGGGCCACCATTTTCTCGATCTGTCCTAAGATAAAGCATTTTGGGTAAGAAGTATGAAACACAGTGACGTACCTTGTATTGGCTAAATCTACCCGACAAATTGGACCGTATTTGTCTGCCCATTTACCATAGCTTCGAAATGGCATACTATCAAGTTGTAAAATGTTCCCCACAATGGGCAATCTGAAAGGACCTGGATAAATTTAGACAGTTATTTTAAAGAAACTTATTTTAAATTAAAACTTAATTAGCATAAATTATGAATTTATTTCGTAATCAGTGTTTCATTGAGGGTTTAAATAACACATTCTGGGCAGAACACAGTTAAATAATTGTTCCCCCTTCTGACTTTGCCATGACGAAAATAAACTGCGCAATTACTCATTTTATTAAATATGTAAATTCTTTTGGATCAAAGATTCAAACCTCAGCGAAAATTTAAAATTTGAGAGAAAAATTTTCAATTTATTTGAGAGTTTATTTTCTTATTTGTGAATATAGGTAACAAATCAGAATTATTTTATTCTTGATATTACCTGGAGGTGAGTTTTTCCATTTTTTCTTTCCCCAATAGCGCAAACTAAGTACCACCACTAAAACAACTAGAAAACTCTCGAACCAAACCATTTCAAGAAATCTATATTTTATTCCTGATTTCTTAGTAGATCACATAAAGTAATTCTTGTGTTGTCTCAAAAATAAAGAGAAATTTCAAGGACACAATCGAGTACCATAAAACCAAGCAGAGCTGCTCAAGTAATTGTGAACTTGATGAGTTGAGAAATCATAAGAAGTGGTCCGATTAACTCATTACTTACATAGATTAAAAACCTGTTTCTTTGTAGACATAGTACATCCATAAATTTTCACATTCTGGATTTGTGCAGTGTTCCCGAAATCATAGCGGAGTGTGCTTTATTGTGATTTAAGTAATCGCCATTTAGCGAAATTACATAGTTCATATATATACCGCTAAATGGGGACTGTCAAACCACAATAAATCACAAAAGTCCTAAAAATCACACCAATCAGAGAAATAAATTTGTGAGAATCACATGTATCACACAAAAAGTCACAGAACAATCTACCAATACCAGTTAATCAATCAAGATAAATGAGTTCTCAGTTTACCCTTCAAAGATTAAATTATTCCTGCTTAATTTTTAATAGTACCAGAAATTAAAAATATATGCGTTACTTGGACCCTTGGAAACAGGGTACGAAAACACCCAGGGTTTTATTCAAAAAATTACGGCCCAAAGGTTTTAATGAATTTTTTGGGGTTTTGTTGAGTTTTTTGGGTTTTAATGGGTTTTATACATATACAATTCCAACAGAAAGTATTTTGTGTCTATTGAAAAATTAAATTCAAGCATATCTAATTCCTCCTTCAGCATATATGAAGTTTGTCTAGTCTAAAAATTTAATTTTTTAAATATCAATTTTGTTAAGGTTAACGTTCTTCATTGATTTTCATAAGCTTTACATCCGAACAATATTAATGAAATAAGTTGCTTAATTGCATTGTAATCACTTTGTCTAAGTAATTGCCAATCTGAAAATGCATTTTTCTAGCAAATCTATGCAAAATTCGAATACAACCCATTTAGCATGGTAAAACCCATTCGGTTTTATTAACTTGTAACCCATTGAAGCACAACAACCCAATATAACCCAGGGTCGGAATACCATGCCTGGAAAACCCTATGAAAAAATCTGATTTCGTGATACTGCGTAGACCAAGGATAACCTAACCTTAACAATTACAAAAATTTTGTTATTGCTAAGGTTAGGTTAGGTAGCATAGGTTAGTTAGTTAAGTTAGGTTAGTTACCTTGTTACAAGATCAATAGCATAAGGTATAATGTGATTTTTTAATTCGCTCTATAACTATTGAATGGCAGTCCAAAAGATCAAAGGTCTTTCTTAATTCGTCCATCCCTGGGCACCTTTCAATTTCAATCTACGTTTTATTTTCTGCATGGCTTCATAAATTGCGAAATATGCAAATGAAGTCACACAATGATATTTACTATATGGATTTATGTGCGTTCACAAAACATTACCTACAGGGTCTTGCTTCGAATGTGTCCAAACCCCGTTGTACAGTACCCAGTACAGGGTTGTTTTTTTTGCAAGTGCAACCCTTATATTTAATTGTACAGAATTATATGTAACTTAAGACATGCTTTACATCCACACACCCAAAATAAATTTTTACCTTAACTAAACTATTAAATATTTCAATGAGTCGTGCCATCCCAAATGAAACAACAACGACGCAATTATTACCCACAAATGGAAAAATGCACAGGAATGGCAAGCAGACCGGAATGTAGCTAGTGACGCACGTAAATATTCTACAAAGGAGAATATGGTTGTCTTCCATATTATTTTAGACTAGGCGATATCGTGTTGCCCGTGGCACCACATATAACGTTACCTATAGGTGACATAGTGGTACCCCTGGACCCCCGCGAACGACCTATACATACTACAGTATAACTTTGCCAGGCCAGAGCCCCTGCCCGACACTGGCTCCCTAGCCCGATCTAGTTTACTATCTGGCCAATGCTGTAACTCTGCCTGGCCAGAGCCCCGGCTAGATTCTGGCTGCCGCGGACGATCTGGCCTTGGACAGCCAATATTGCATACACAGGCCACAAAGACTGTATATGAGAAAGCGGCGAAGTGCATGAATGCCCCCACTCTGCTATCCCTTCAATGTAAGATATAGCATTGCAGGATGCTTCCCGACAGACGGGCAGAACTGGGTAAGTTAATGCTACCTGCCAGGCGGACACTATGAAGCCGCGTTCGCCTCATTTGGTCCCCTTCTTACCCTACCCATCCTATCCGACTCAGCCTAACACAACATCCAAAGTGGACGGCGTCCAGTGTGGCGCACACGCAGTATAGTGTCTGCGTTCGCGTCCGCGAACGTAGGGTTGTTTTCTTAGCCTAGCCTAACCTAACCATAGGCGGCCAGTGAGGCGGACGCGGACGCGGCAGCATAGTGTCCGCGTCCGCCTCACTTGGCTTCTTTCTAGTCAAGCAAGTGCATCCACATACCACATGGTGTGTGACAGCTATAAAGAGACATAGTATGTGAATGCCCCACTTTGATATCCCTTCAATGTAAAATAAAGCATGGAAGGGATCCGTAACCGATTGACAGACAGACAAAGCTGGGTAAATATATAAGTTAATAGTGCTCGCCACCGCACTTTATACGAAAGCGATCAAGCCCTTGAGAAAGACGAGACTTCCTCTAGCGGTTAGCGACTATACACTGTGCTACATGAGCAGGTCGATCAAAACGACGGTGCCATTAATCGTGATGGAGCAGACCATTAATTTGATACTTTCTACGTAAATGTAATTAATCTTCGATTACAGGCTTTACAAGGATTATTTGTGGATGACTCTAAAATATTGCCTTAATTATTATGCATACAAAATGTTTCACTCATGAACAGTCTTGCAAAAATTATCAACAGCATAATTTATAGCAAAGGGGGGCATATTTTGGTTAACTTTTGCTTGTTTTGAAATAATTTAACAGGGCTCTTTCATTAACTAAAAACAAACGACTTATTCATTTGATTGAACCACACCTTCTACATTATAGCGAGCAATGATGTTCAGAATACACTTGAATTCTGCACGTATTCCCTGCTACTGTCTATTTTCTATAATATAACAAATCATATCTTAATCACAAATCATATCAAGAAATAACCAGCCGGTAAAATGTATGTAAATAGACATCATTTTAACAAATCGGCAACAGATGGATATATGTTCCTTATTCAAATTTTGGATCTCCCAAATTCTTGGATTAATTTTAGACATTTCTTTTAGCACATTACAACGAATATATGGAACATGCAAAAATTGAAACAATTCTTTCATAACTGTGCCATACGTGAGCGCCGGAGGCTAATATTTCCTATGTAGTATCCACATTTTTTGTCCACTGTAAAATCATAGCTCGTCAACCAATACATAGAAATTAAGTCCATTAATCTATGTAGAGGTTTAATATTTTATCAAGTTGACTCTGGCAAAATAAAACTACCTATTGAATTCAGCCATTAAGCTAATTAAAATTTCAACCAAAAAATATATACTAAAAATTTTGACAAACATAACTGTTCTAAAGAGACACATGCCAGGTAAATATTTTATTCAACTATTTAGCTAATCAAAAATCAGGATCCGTCCACAAATGGCGTTCATATCAATCAAGTATTTAAATTTGTCATTACACCAAAAATGTCGCTGGGTCGTATACCGCGTATTAGGGAGACCTTGGGCTTCTATAGCAGCAGGGTTCTCTTTGGATGCTACAACTTTTTGAATAATGAATTTTGTCAATAAATATTGATTTTGAGAAAAAAATTGCTACGTATGCTAAGGAAGAAAGAAGAAACTTGATGCTAAAATATTCAAATCATCAATTACCGATAGAACTGTCAGCATAAGTTTCCATCTTAAACTAGTATCTTGATGCCCTCAACCTTTTCTAAAATTTCGTAAATTTAGTTCGCTAAATTAACCTTGTTGTTATTGAATGCTGGTATATTTGCAAATCACTATCAAATTTCCAATATCTGGTTATCAATCCCAGGGCCATAGGATCTATCGAATACAATAAGTTAAGTATGTAAATCCACAATTACCCATCTTAATGTGATGTACCCACTAATCAAAACCCTACGACAAATATATTAGATAAGACAAGAAGCAATAATTCTCTTAGATGAGTAATGATATTAAAAATTGATTACAAGTTACTTTATCATTCAAATTTTTGATGAGAATTAAATAAAGTACAGTCTGTTGCACGGGGAACCAGTAGTTACAAAACCAAAATTTGCTGAAACCTAACTTCAAATGAGTCGGACAATACAAATCTGTAAAAAGGCTTGCCCACAAGTTATGCAAAGGTAACCAAAAAATTTTGCATACTACATATTCCTACATTGGCGTATATAAACAATTAAAATGCCAAAACTTGTCAATATTTGCACCATACTGTTATTTTGTATCCTACATTGTCCTCCCCATATCTGTTTAGAACTAGATTTCCTTCCAATATTTGAAATCTTATATCACAAACTAGACCATTGCGATATCCAAGTGTTGCACGACGATATTCAAATAGTTAATATTGACTGGTTCAACATGAATCAGCCTACTAAAATCGTGTCGGACTTTGAAGAAAGGGAATCACTACAGATAAACATATTCGGGTCAAGGATCGCATACCCGTGTCAGCTTGCCATTGCAATTTCTAATATTTACTTACTTAAACACGAATACGGTACCGAGGCAGATTCACATAAGTACATTCAGACCGTGTTTGACGCAAACATGTTTTTTTGGGACGAACATTCTCGATGGGAAGTTACAGGATACGACGTTCTCATTATGTTTGTAGCTACACCATCTCATCTAAGTATAAGTGATCGGATAAGTTTCTCTAGGTACGTATATGCTAAAATTGTCGTTGTCCTCGTTTTGGATTACGGGAGGTTTGAAGTATGTGCGTGGTCAAGTAAATATTGGGATACGAGTACAAAATGGAAATACCATAGCGAAGAATTATGCTGTCGGGAGGA